TACATTCAGAACCTGCTGAGGTATAAACTGGCACGTTTCTGGAGAACAAGTTGGCATTGAGTTTATGCCCTTCGAGATAGCAGCTCCACTTCCAGATGCTGATTCTAAAGAAGCATCGCAGACGCACAACACAAGTAAACAAAGATATCAGTGACAACGCTGTTTATAATGTACAAAACTAGAACCAACTCGAAAGTCTCATCAACATAGGTCTTATTTTAATTAGGCCTATATATCCATCTGATGAAATTTTATACAACCCTTAAAAAATCAAATTTTAGAAGACATTTAATTACATGGAAAAACATCTATTGAATGCAACAATTCTTTATGAACAGATATGGCATAGTCTCTACGTGAAAAAAGCAAAATGTTGATGAATGAGTCTATGATGCTACCATCTGGGTGAAAAAAAACGTGTGCACGTGTGTGTGCGTGTGTGTTACTTTCCTATTTAAATGCCGTGTTTCTGGAAGGGTTACACCATAAAATGGTAACACAGAGGGGACTAGATGCCTGGAAGAAAAGTGAAGGAGGGAGATTTTTCAGTGTTTACCCTTTTTCTTTTTGATATGAAATTACTTAATCAAAATGTAAACACAACACACACCTAAATCACAGAGTATACATTAGTTTTGTAACCTATATACTGTCAATGTGTGCGTGTGTGTACTCACGGAAAATGCTGGCCAGATAAACCCCAAAGTGTTAGCTGTGGCTCTTGCTGAGCAAGTCCTTTAAAAATTTATATGTATCATTTCATATAATCAGAAAAAAAAAAGGAATTTAAATGATGTGGAAAGAACGTGGGCCTCCTGACTGCATCGGAGGCTCCCTGGCAGCCTAGTGACATTCTAGTCTGGTGTCAGCAGCCTGCACCCCGGCGACCCCACTGTGAGGCCGTCCTCACGGGTCTGAGAAGAAAGAGCTGCTCAGGGGACTGCCCTCCAAGGCGAGGGGAGGCCAGCGCACTCTGGAGTCAAAGGGACCTGTCTGAATCTCAGCTCTGCCGACTCTCCAGCGGCGGGTGCCCTTGGGTGTCACTTAGTCTTTGCAGGCCACTGTCCTGCATCTGCAAAATGCGGCCGATAATCTCTACCTCAGGTTCTCTGAGGGTCAAATGAGAGGACGCCTGTAGTGGCTGCACGGCAGACACTCCCCAAGCAGTCACTTCTCGAATGGTAATGAGGAAGCACAGCCAAGCCAGAGGCAATGGCACAGCCACACAGAGAAGCTTCCATGAGAGCCTCTGTCCCCTGGGAGGCGAGAAGGCAGGAGGCAATTTCGAGACAGTTAACAAAGAAATGAGAAAGCTGACTTGAGGCCTGGTGGCCTGGCCAGGTGACAGGATGTCCAGGCCTCAGGACTGTGGCCGGGGACAGGAAAAGGCTACTCCTTGTGAGTACGAGCCTCATGTTCCAGACCTGAGCAGCGCACGGTGCCTCTGCTGGCAGGGAGAGGGGCCGGCCAGAGGGCGTCGCTTCTAGATGGGGCAGGAATCAGTTTCCAGCCCAGGAGCTGACCTGTCCAAAGGGGAGATGCTGGCCAGGCGGCCCTTGAGGCCTGAGGCCTGAAGAGTACCGGTCCCCTCCTAGGTGACCATTCAAACAACAACCAGTCCCTCCCCACGACCCAGCACTTCCCAACCCACGTTCAAAAATATGAACATGTTTGACATTCTAGCAGCGTTCTCCAGACCAGAAATGGATTCACCCCGCAAAGGCCTGGCCTCGAGGGAGCACCATGGCTCCAAGGTCACCCTGACTGCTCAGCCCCCTGAAGCCCCACAGCGGGAAGCTGGCAGAATCCCACAGACAGGCCTGGTTAGAAGCTCAGCTGAACCCCTCCAACTGGGTGACCGGGCGAGTGACAGGCCTGCCGAGAAACAGTCTCCTCGTTTACGAGATGGGGGACACAGGGTCCCCTGAGGAGGGCGGTGAACGTGCAGAGACGGTTCCGGGGGCACAGCTTTGCCTCGCACCCTGCTCCCCATGCCAGTCTGTCCCAGTGCCACGGACTTGCCTCCAAAGCGTGGGTTAAACCCAAGCGCTCATTCCCTCCTGGCCACCGCCCTGGACGGGGTCCCAGGCCCCTGCACCTCGACCCACAGGCCTACGTGACCTGGGTGCTGCAGACCCTGGGGACCGCGCCCCCGCCCTCTCCTGATGACCTCCAGCCCCGTCCTCCCGGCTCCCTGAACAAGCCGAGGGGTCAGGCCTCAGCCTTGCAGTGCCCTGTATGTCCCCCGCCTGCCTGTGGCCGCCCCGCTCAGCCCGAGGGCCCCGTCCGGCCCAGGCACTGGCTGACATGTCACCGTTACTTCCTCCGGTCATCTCGTGCATCGGGTGTTGGCCCATTAAGTGTAAATTCTACAGAACCAACAGCTTCAGCTCTCTGGGTCACCGCTATGTC